GGATCCGATTGTCGTCAGCTGTGGTTTGGTGCAACTTTTACCTCCGTGCTCTTGAGTTTGTTTTATATCTGTAACTCATGACCTTGTTATTCCAGCATATGCACAGCGCTAAAGTGTGGCTACGGCTTTGTCACTCCAATGGTGAGCAGCAGAGTGCCTGCTTCGCTTGCCGCATTCCCTCCGCGACTCATGCGCGAGCGAGGAACGGCCGCAAGTTGTGAATTAAATGCGTCATTAGATGTCTGAGTATGCCGCTTAATTCTGATCAGTCTTAGGTGACGACGACGACGGTGACAAAATGTAATCACAAAAAAATCGAAGCAATTTTCGATCCTCGCCGTGAACGTTAATTTCGAGTTTGCCAGCAAATTTGACGCTCGACAAAATCCATCCTCTGCGTTGCCATCGCAGACAGCTAGAGGCGACTAAAGTGAGGAATCTGGTGAGGAGAGATCCTTTGGAGTGCGCAACAGAGAATTAGTCACCTCGGTGTTCGTTAAAGCCCATAAGAATCTGAAACGATCCGTTGACGATTCAATGATTACTTGAAATGATAGTTTGTCTTATGCTGAAGAAGGACACACCGTTAACAAATTAAGGAGGAAGGATTTAAGCTCCCACTGTTATGAATTAATCAATCAATCAAGCAAGCAAAATTAACCGCTTAAATTAACGGAAATAGCACCTAAGATTCGCACTGACTAATATTCAACAATCTCTGAACCATTGGCATAAAACATGCATAAAGTATTCAGGAAAAAACAAAATACTCAAGAATGAGACAATAAATAGAGAATGATGTAGAGGAGACGAACTGGTGTTTGAAATTTTAGTGCATATGAATATCTAAATGCAGGTATGTTAACATGACAATGTCAACTCCAGCAGTTTCAGCCTTTCACGTTTCTCATTGTGCAAAGTCCGAACTTCCTGCTGGTTCGCAGATTTTCGCTCGCTTCAGTTCTCGCACAGCTGCAGGCATTTTTGACCTTTTGAAGTAAGAATTCGAAGTGCGTTTTGTGAGCTGCTACAGTTCGATCTATCACGAAATTTACGACGTTCAAGTAAGACCACTGATCTGCTGTGCCAACAATGTTGAGAAGTGACTGGAATTCGTGTCTGTCCATTTTAAGAAAGGGAAAGAAGAATACTCTCCGAGGAAGAGATCGACCAGCGAATTGGAGCAGCCAGCGGCGTTCTGCGTGAACTAGTTCTAACGGTTATGATTAAAGCAGATTTGGGTCTGAAAACTGAGGAGCTCTCGGAGTTCAGATCGATCTTCGTCCTTATGCTCGCCTACGGTCATGAGTTGTGGACCATGAGTGAAAAATTTCGAACCCGGGTACAAGCTGCTGAAATGGGCTTTCTTAGACGAGTCGCTGGCCTTACGCATCTCGACAT